ATGATCGTCTACGAATATAGCATTGTATGCGTACTGTAGAACGAAAAAGATGGATTAATCTCCACAACTTTGACGTTCAAATTTCCCATTTGGATCTTATTTACTACCATTTAATCATTAAAATTTTCAAGTACTACAGTAGGTTATGATCGTCTACGAATATAGCATTATATGCGTATTGTACAACAAGAAAGATGGATCAATCTCGGCAACTTGAATGTTTAAATTTCCAATTTCAATCTTGCCTACTACTATCCAATCTTTAAATTTTCAAATAATAGATTATAATCGTCTACGAATATGGCATTATATGCGTACAGTAGAAGGAGAAAGATGGATCAATTTCAGTAAGTTGAATGTTCAAATTTCCTATTTGAACTAGGGGCTTCTCGATAATAAAATAAAAGAAGTAATTAATCCCTTTCTCTTATTTTATCGAGAAATCGCTGTTTGAACCTTACGTGCGACCATCCAATGGTTCAAATTTTAAATAGTAGCTTACAATTCTGTGCTACGTTGGTATTTTGGAGCGAAATCGATGGATCAGTATCGGCAATTTAGATATTCAAATCTCCTATCTGAACCTTGCTTAGTGCTATCAAATCTGGAAGTTTTCCACTTTCGATTAGAATAATAGGTAGCACTGGATATGAAATAAATTGATCCATACTTGGTGTAGATCAATAGAAGGTGCAGAAATCGGAAGGTTCAAGTTTAAATAAGCTTTTATAACGGAAGCCAACTCGTGATATACGAGTGGTAAATTAATCTTTTACTATTGTATTAGTTCAATCATGTGCAAATAGCGGCAAAATAGAAGTGATCAAGCGCTGCCCTCTACTTTCTCGAATGGCTACCAAGTTTGCATAGCGCTTTCACTCTATACAAGGGTATTAAAATCGGCATGATGTAATTAATGTGAAGAGGCGTAGTCAAGGTACAACTAATTGGACATATATCTATCGATATACAGTACATCTATTTATGCAGTACATCGTTAATGTGCAATACTACTATCCTAGGAAGATACAGCAAAGTAGCTTAGCAAGATATTATGTAGATTCAAGAGTATTTCGAGAGAGCACACCTAAAGATATTTATTCTTGATCCAGTGCGGAGTTGGATAGTACTTTGATGCTTGATATTTTATTTTGCAAAATCAAAACTTATTCTGTCGAGTAGATATGATTAACTTTTGCAAGAATATGAAGAGTATTTGAATCTAGAGAATGATAAAATATAGATCAACCCGTGCTAGTAGGTTGTTGTTATGCAGCCTTATAGCAAGCTAGCGCTCCATTCAGATTTTATGGATAGGCCTACGATTGATATTTGAATTTGCAAAATCAAAGTTTATTCCATGGAATAGACGCCATTGCACTTCCCAAGAAGATGAAGAGTATTTCCTTCTATCTAACGATGGAATGTTCATCAATAGTAGCAAACACTTCATTTCATGCAACCTTGTAGAAAGCTAACGCTCTATGTAGTTAGCGTGAGACTGGCCTACCATTGATATTTTAATTTGCAAATTCAAAGGTAGTCATAGTGATCACAAATATTATATGCATTCAATATTCTTTCTGATAAATAAGACGAACATTTCATTGTGTGCCACATCCAATTATGAAAGCCTCTTTCAAGCATCACCTAGTGAGTGGAAATTTTTTTCATTCTGTTAGGTGGGAAACTGCTATTCAATCGGTTAATAGAATGTCAAATTGGTCGTAAATAATTCTATTACCGCTACCCCCTCCGACTCCCGCAAAATTATTAAGGTTAACTATCGTGATTCAACATCGTTCCCTTTCTGATAAATATAGTGAGCACTCCATTAGCTCACGGTATGTATGATGATAGGCTAAAATTGGCGATAGGTAGCGCTATTTCCAACGACAAGTTGTTGGATATGGATAATTTCGTTGTTAGACTGGAGATGTCAACAACTGTAGTCCATTCTCTTTCCAAACGATACTAAATTAACACTGTGAGCAAGCTGTTGCAGACTGTTCTGCATCATCTTGCTAACCCATAGAGGCAATAAGCCATCCTAAAATCATTACTCCAAAATAGGGAGTACATATTATTCCTTGCTACTTGCCGGCTTTCCTCTTTTACCGCCATTTCTACAGTGTAGATCGGTAGCTATGCGATGCCAGCGTGTGATAATTATATGGATCCAATGTAGCATTAACCATTGTAGTAACTTGCTGCTATTCTCTTAGTAAGATCTATACTAAATCATTAATTTCCTACCTACAGCATAAACCGAAAGTAATATTTAAGACTATTGGAAAGGGGATTAGTTAACCCATATCTTTAAGCGACCGTATCGCTACCAGTCGCGTGTTCGGAAGAAGAGTATCCAAGGAGACGACTAGCTTTAGAACTTTCTTTTCCTAAGCAATCGGTAGGTCTCGTTTTCAATAATATCTCTTCTAGCTGTATATTAATTTAAAGTCTTTCTTGCTTATATCATTCTTACGGCCAATATCGATAGCATAGCCTAAAGGATACATAAATCAGTTATTTGATGAAGTGATCGATAGGACGTTTTTTACCTCCATGTTCAACATCGATGCTTACTATAGGATTTGAGTCATATTATTTTTAAGTATTTGAAAGCAAATAAATTATTAAACTTACGATACTCTTGAGGAGTGTTTAACACTCTAGTATAGGATCAAGAAATAGATAGGATACCTTTTCCATCAACGCCTTTTTGAACATTCAATTTTTTATCTTGATTCTGCTGAAATGAGGTCAGCATTTCATTGACTGCTTCAACTCTATTAATAGATAAAATACCTTTTCCATCAACGCCTTTTGGAACATTTAATTTTTTCCGTACCATTTTTTTCATCTTGATTCTTCTGAAATGAGGTCAGCATTTTCTTGACTGCTTCAACTCTATTAAGGAGTTCAGAAATGACTTGAATGATTTTTCAATGCCTTATTTGAACATCTATTCGCCCTAGACCATTTTAATCATATTATTTCATACAGTAAAATGTGAAAGCAAACTTTTCATTCAATTTACGGCACTAATCAAAGCCTAAAGGACCAACAAACAGATAGCACGCCTTTTCCAACGCTTCCTTGAATATTCATTTTTCTATACCTTTCTCCTCATATTATTTTCCTCTGAAATGAGATAAATTATTCAATTTCCTGTTTCAACTCCATCAATGAATTCAAAAAGGAATAGGACACCTTTTTCAACGCCTTGTTGAATATTTTATTTATCTTATATCCCTTGAAACCTTTTATTTCCGTCTATCTTAAAGCAAATAAATTATTCAACTTACTCTTCAAACTCCATCAAGGGACCAAGAAATACGAAGATAGGATACCTTTCCAATCGCTAGCGGAACATTCATTTTTCCTATGCCATTTTCTTGATATTATTTCCTCTGACATGAGATGAATTATTCAATTTCCTATTGCAACCCCACCAAGGAATTAAAAAAATGAATAGGATGCCTTTTTCAACGTCTTGTTGAAATATTTTATTTATCTTATATCCCTTGAATCATATTGTTTCTATCCATCTCAATGCAAATAAATTATTCAACTTACTTTTCAAACTCTATTAAGAGACCAAGAAATACGAAGATAGAATACCTTTCCAATCCCTTCTTGAACATAAACTATTCAATTTCCTATTTCAATCCCATCAAGGAGTTAAAAAAAGAATAAGATGCCTTTTTCAACGTCTTATTAAACATTTTATTTATCCTATATCCCTCGAATTATATTTTTGTCTATCTCAATGCAAATATATTATTCAACTTACTACTCTAACTCCACCATGGGTCAAGAAATCAATACTGTTGGATAGTTTTTTCAACTCCGTGTTGGAAATTTTTTACTACACCATTTTCTTCATATTATTCGGCCTGAAGTGAGACAAACTATTCAATTTTCTGCTCAAAATTCATATTCATGAAGGTATCGAGAATTACTCATACATAATCATGATTTCTTTGCGTCTAATAGCAAACAAACTATTAAACAGTACTGTTTAAGCTTTACTAAGGGGCCAAGAAATAGATAGGGTACCTTTTTCAACTCCTTATTGGACATTCCTTTATCCTCAACCATTTTGTCCTATGATTTCCTCTGAAACGAGACAAATTATTTGACTTACTGTTCAGACTCCCTTAATGCATCAAGATGTGAATAGGATAGTTTTTCCAGCTCTTTGTTGAATATTTTCTTGTAGCTAGTCTATTCTAGTCATATCGACTGTATTTCTATGCATTTAAAACCAGATAAACTATTCAGTTTACTATGCCAGTGTGATGATGATGATTAACAGTATGGCCTAGAGGGACAAGAAATGGGGTTGATCGATCAATCGATAGAATAGTATTCATTTCACTTCTTGCCAAGCATTCGTTGTTGCTATTGCTTTCAATTTCTATCCTTTCTCTGTATCTAGCATTCAAATTCCATGACGATAAAAGGTCAAGAAATGCTTAGAACTATTTTTTCGACGCCTTGTTAAACTTTGCTATATCATCAGCTCTCTACTCTAAAATATCACCTTAAAAGATAAATAGAATCCTAGAAGATTTTAAATAAAACCTATCTATCTTACAATAAAGCTCTCTATTCGAAAATATCGCATTAAAAGATAAATAGAATACGAGTAGTATTAATAACATAAAACCTATCTATCAATCTTATCCCCTGGCTATAATATGGATAGAGTCATTTTGCGTTGAATTCGATAGAATAGGATGAATTTCAATTTATTGGGTAGTTTTGATTAAAACTCTAGACTCAAAAATATCGGCTTTAAGGATAAAAATAATACGAGTAATAATAAGCTAATACTTCTCTATCTTGACTATCTTATCCTCAAAGCGTAACAACAGCTATAACATGATGGATTCCAACTTATTGGGTGGTTTTGATTGAAATGTTGTATTTTCTAGACTTAAGCGCAAAGAGTTGTTAAATTGGAAGAAGCTGTCTTTACCATCTTCAACATCATGAGTCAAGAGAAAAATATTGGGGCAATCAATCTAGGCCAAGGCAATCCTTCAGCGCCTCAAGGCCAGCAAAATCCCCAGCATCGATTTCAAGAAAATCCTCCTGCGTATGGAAATCAACAGAATTTCCCAGTAAATCAAGGGCAGTCAAATCCTGCTACGTATCCAGGCCAAGCAAATCCTGCCATGTATCCAGGCCAAGCAAATCCTGCCATGTATCCAGGTCAAGCAGTTCCTGCTATGCAACAAGGCCAAGCCAATCCTGCAGTACAACTAGGCCAAGTAAATCCTGTCATGTATCCAGGTCAAGCAATTCCTGCCGTACAACAAGGCCAAGCAAATCCTGCGCTCTATCCAGATTCCAATGTTGCTGCAATAAATCAAGGCCAACAAATCCTCAACATGAATCAAACGCAAATCAACCTAAAAATCGATCAAGGCCAACAAAATCCTGTCGTTACCCAAACTGAAGTCACCGAGACGTATGATTCTCGCAATGCTTGCCATGTAAGCTTACAATAATTATTAATTTATTCAATAGTCTTGAATTCGATCTATGATCCACTGCTCTTCAGCAATAACTGTAAAGCAATAGTGGCTCCAATGAGTGATTTCAGTGAAAGAGGATAAGACATTTCCATTCCATGATGATTTCATTCTTCGTACTACCTGCATTTTATTCTCGATGAAAGTCCTTGTTGTCCATTCCAGGACTACAAGATCTCTTATTTCCCTTTCGATGCCGATGTTACTCCTGATACTAACCGCACATCAATCCTTATCCAAGTCGTTGTTGTTTATGTTAAGGCTAGAAGATACATTATATGTTTCCATGCAATAGCGATTCTACTCCTATGCTAGCAGTATATCTATTCCCTATAAAATCGATCTTGATCATTTCAGGGCTAGAAGACACGCTATGTCCATGCAATAATGATCCCAATCGTCAAACTACCTGCATATCCTACTGTAGTCCTTATGAAGTCATTTTTGTCTATTCCAGCGCTAAAAGATACATCATGTTCATGTAATGCTGATTCTATACCCTATTTAGTCTGTTCATCCATTCCTTATACGTAAAATCATTCTTATCCATTCGAGAGCTAGAGGATGGATCATCTTTACCATTCCTCATCTCTCCTTTCTCAAATCTTGAACACGTAAACATCATCTAGATATTCATATCATTTACATCTTAAATATTTGATTTCCTTTAAAGCTATACTGTACTATGTAGCTCATAGAATTGGATATTCTCTCTACAGTTGTAGAATTAATGTCATTCTTGATTCACTTTTCTACCCTCTATAAGACGAAAGTACGTGTAGATACGATTTCAGGCTGACAAATTTTCGAGAATTTTTACTAATTTCTATCTATCCATCGTCATTACCAATGGACTACAAGAAGATAATATGATTCTAGTCTTCTAATGATACTATACTAATGAATATTTATTAAATACTTTCACTTTGTTATTAGTGGGTTGGCAACGTCTTTTGGTTAATTTGTGGTGGCTTCATCTTGGCACTTCAATGGGCTCTTTTGGGCGTTGCATTTTCAGTCACGATTATTGGTATTCCATGCGGCCTTGTCTGCTTTAAGGTAGACTGATATATATCGATATATTTCGACTTTATAAGATATCATTCCAAGATATCTCCATTAATTAGTAACAGTAAGCTAGCTCATCACATAAGCGCAGCCCTAAAATAAACCATATTTGCAGGTTATAAAGTTTGCAAATATCTAATTTCAAAGTTACTTCACGGTATAAGTGCTACCCTAAATAGATAATGTTTAAACTTAGACTACAGATTGCATAAACCTCTAATTCGAAAGCCAGTTTATTTACACTTAATAAGCAGATCCCCCAAAATAGCTGATGTTTGTAGGTTAAATTACAGATTGCATAAAACTCTAATTCGAAAGCTAGTTTATTTACAGTTAATAAGCACATTCTCAAAATAGCTGATGTTTGTAGGTTAGACTACAGTGTGTACAAATATTGAATTAGATTGAAAAGCGTGTCTATATCGTATTCGAAAGCTAGTTATAAAATAATTACAATTTCAAAAATAGATCATGATACCGTACAGTAGTGGGTAAGATTAAGGATTATGTCAATGTCTACCGTAATTCGAAAGTTAGTTCACACAAACAGTCCCAAAATAGATCAGGTCTGTGATGAGATTGTTCGATTGCACAAGTCTCTTTCTGTAGTATTAGAATGCTTTTATGTAATTAGTGTGTGATCTCAAAATAAGCTTTACTTGTAGGTTAAATTATGCAAATACATACTTACGGTAGGATAAACAATTTATGAAATGAATTGAAATTATCAACAAATAGAAGTTCTTACTGGAGTGTTTTTTTAAAGGCACTATCACAATATCATACCGTCGTCCATACATTTTATCATGATAGAAATAAAATTACTGTTACTCTAGAAGTCTTTTACTACTACTTTTCAACAAGGCGAATAGGTTAACATTTAATTTTCTTTCATTTTTTAGATGGCTATGTTAACATTATTACCATTCGGCAAAGATGTCAGTGGCATAAATCCGGTATCTCGGGAAGACGAAAAGGTTAGCATTACTAAAGTTATATCCAGTATGCTCGTATTGGTATACTTATTATAAAATTTTGGATCGCAGCTTTAACATGAGTGGTACAGAAATAAAAAGCTACAGTTATCATCAATAGATAAAGAATCCTATCATTTATTTTAAAGATAGAGCAAATATGTCTCGCTTATTATAATAATAATTGCATTAACTTCAAATGTATAAAATAAACGGATCAAGGGATATCCTATATTTAAATTGATAGCAAGCCGTACAAAATCCACTTATTTTATCAATTTAATATTTAAATATTACGTAAATTGATTATTAATATGATTCGCAATCGTAAAACTTCTCTCTGGCTATCTGTCTAGAGTTGTATAACATGCTGTGGCAACGTACTCTGGTTACCTTTTGGAATTTTATTCGCGATCGAGCACTTCCTCCTAGGTTTAGTTCAGTTTATAACTCTAATATGCATCCCATTTGGAATTCAGAATTTCAAATTAGGGAGAATTGCATTGTGGCCGTTTGGCTACCATTTAACTGCTATGCGTGAAAAAAAGACTGTTACTACATCTTCAACTAATGTTCCTGCAAATACTCCATAAGATTGGCAAAGTATTATATACGAGTTTGCATGTCTAGGATATCATATTCTTACATGACAATTTATCAGCACAATTATGGCGGAGATAAGTATCAAATTATACATCATTAATCATATTGAATATTATGCAGCAGACTGTCAATTTCGACATAATCAAGTTAATAGTTATAATACCATACTCATACAATAACGATAGAATATTGGTGTACTGATTGTAGCTATACCTACTACGGAAAATACATTAGCAACTACTACGAATTATTTTTCAAATTTTACTTCTTCTTCCTAAGTCATTGTAATTGTTTTATTAGGCTATTTGGCTACAGTTATGTCCGTTATCTAATTTTACATAAGGAGTCAATAAATTTTGACATACTTTGAAAGTTCCTGATTTATTTCCTCTCAACGATAACAAACATAAATTTATGTTTGTCCTAATGCACATGTATCTGCAATTACGAATATAAGACGAAAGCACGCGTAGCTACTATTTCAGGAGTATATATTTTTATGAATCTTTACTTATTTCTATCTATCCATCGTCATAACCAATTGACTACAAGGAGATATGATGTCTTCTTGTAGTCAATTGGTAATACTATACTAGGCTATAGTGCTGCATCTTCATAGGATGGTAGCACTACGTATTAATGATGTATAAATAGACGCGTTTAGATGGTATATATATATATGGCCAATTCATTATACGGCATGACTACACTACTACATATTAATTAGATATATCTCCATTTCAATAATGCTCTTCGCTACAGTAGTATAATCGCATTCAATTAAGGAGGGACTCGATGCTGGCGATGATCGATAATAGAGTAGGCAATATCGAAATCATGTAGTTACAAGATCAATTAGCACGGTCATAATACGCGTGCAGCCAAGCTGGAGATTGTATTAGATACCTGTTGCTATTATTATGCCTGATTTTATTCTCAACTTTGAGTGGCAGGATAGATTATTGTGCTATTCATGGCTATAAAAAATAATAATTAACTCTATCTTCTTGCAATACTATTGCCAGCCTACTTCTTTATAATTAGAATCTAGCTCAGATACTAGAGTATTTCTTCGCCTATGAGCCTAGAGTGGAGGTAAGGAATAGGTTGATGATTTCTGCCTAGTTTAAAGGCGTTCTTAACCCTTAAAATAATAATCTCCATTATACCTACGATAGTAACATCAAAATATTACCTCACAACAAACATTTTATCCGTTGCAACCAAGCAAGCTGAAGGAAAAAATCTATCAGCTGTACGTTCTTGTCCTTAGCTCGATCTTGTCAGCTGGATTCAGTAGCAAGATTTCCCGCACAATCATAGTGAATAAATGAAGAATACTTAGCTAAACTTTCACTGATCTACGTTAATTATATCTAGGACATATCAATTGATAATGATATTTTTAAACCGTAGATTGGCCATTTTTGTGGCTTTATTTGAAATTACTACTGTTATTCTCTATGCAATCTTTGTACGATTCGATGCAGAAATAATGCCAACACTGGCTGCCAAGTCTCTTTTGGCCATAAGTTATGCCAGCAAGTCCATGCTTTTTATTTTTAATACCGGTAAAAAATAGGCTATAAAGATACAGATGGCTTAGATCTTGCATCATGATGTTCAGAGTCACGCCGAAGTAATTTATTCCCCTAAGTGTCTTTCTAATGCTATCACGGAGTTCTCCTGACTCAGTTACAGTTAATACTATGAATGTGACATAGAACTTTAGGGTAGAAATTCTTTAGTACTATAGAAGTGACTTAGCTCCAGCATCCGTCAAGTAAAAAATTTTGATAACTTTAATTGTAAAGAAGAACTTTCTTGAGCTACATGATCAATGTAAGATGATTACTATTGCTTTAGGTTATATCATTAAATCTCCCATATTCGATGGAGTCGATAGTAAACACTATTATCTCGATCAACCCCATTGTGAGGTAAGCCCAGAAGAATGACGATTATTCAAACTTGATCTCGATAATTTACCCAATCGCCTAATCACATCTATAACATGAAATATTTAACATATTAAATAAATTCTATTATGCTTAGGTGTTGCAATATTCAATCAATGTCACTTATCAATCTAATAATTATAATTTTAATAACATTAGCTCACAAATCACTGTACAATGTACGTTCAGATGCAATCGAATATCTCAAGATTTTACCTAAATCTTCAATACAGGAGCTAATAGCCATTTTAACATGAATTATTCTAGTATATTGTATACTTGTAATTATTCGTGATCAAATACCTACATTACATTTGACCTAAATATTTACGATAAGTCAATAATTACTATAGTGTAAGAATTATCATTTTGTACTAAAGTAACGGAGACTGGTAATCAATTGCTATAGGTTCGAGATTCTGAATCTACAATCAAATTTCAGCGAAAACATACAGTAAAATCAGTTAAAATAAATCTATAATTCTATTTTAACACAGTGAAGGAGAAAATAATACCAACTCATTAAATTAATATAAAAATCGTTCAAGATATTCTGTTCTAATGAGTTTATAGCTTGACTGCAATCTAATCTCAACAGGAACATAACGCAAAATCAATCAATCAAACTAACAATGCAGCTCTGTTTTGAAATATTTAATGAAGGAGAAATGATATTAAATGCTGGAATTATTAGCTGGAATATAGAGCTATCTCTACAGGAAAATTCAGTGTGGAATTTCATGCATTTATAATTGAGGAGTTTAGTCATGCTGTTACTTTTCTAATAATACGAGAACGTTATACATATTGTAACATATACCTTAAATAAAATCTTTTCCGAATGACTTTTTACTGGACGTCTGATTTATAAAGATATTTCAGAATATGCAAACTAGAATTTTATTGAGATATAAGAAATTTATGGCTACTATACTTTATATTATAAGCATGGGTAGCGTATCAGTTGCTAGAAAAGCGTCATTAGGACATTTTTATTCAGTTTCTGCACTCGTTATTAGTAGAAATGCTTTCCGTTAAATCCTATTCATTCTCGAATACATTAAAGCTGCACATCACATTATACCTAAGATAGTAATTATCGACTTTCATCGATAATATGTATTTGGTATTGTAACGCACTAACTAAAAGAGAAAATAATTACATTTGTAAATATAATCAACTAATATTTGATTAATTAGAGTACAAGAACAAAGCCATACATTTATAAATCTGTAAATCTATCGAATAATTCCAAACTGAAGCAGAAAACAGGCCGTATATTATTAGGGTGAACAAATTGCATAACTTTTAGCCTGACTGATTTATTTCGTACTTTAAGCAATCAGTGATAATTTCATACGTCTCCATAGGACTAGACGACAATGCATGCTATAAAGCAATTTACCAATATTCCAATAAATCAAATTTAAATGACTAAAACGTTAAAAATTAAGGCAATGAATTATTTAACACCTACTTAATACGTATTTACATGTCAATAACTATCAGTAGTGCTAAAGAAGACAATAGATGACAGTAGATTATTTAGCAAATGCAGCTTGTAATGCTTTAGTCATATTTCCGGATATTATAGTAACCCTAATTAATAAAAAATTATGAATTAATTTAACAATCTATGTATGAGCCATCGAATAACACTTAACTACTACAATGTTTTATACCATAACAATAATATTCATGTACCCACATAAACATTTATAGTTTGACTCACTATGTTATTCAAACAGTATAACTACTGGATTTAGTTAGACGTACCTGTCTTTGGTAACCTGAACAATGAAACGTTGGTAACTTCCGCGCAAATATTGTGGGGATATAATCGCCTAATATTTTTGCATATTTAAAATTGATTTTGAAATAAATAGTTAGCTCACATTTTTCACGTTATCGCTGTACTGATGTGCTACTTACATAATTGAAAACAATTGCTGTTGCAAGTGAGTATAGGGCAATATCGAAATGTTTTATGCTGGGGAGGTGCCCATAATCTATGCCTAATTTATAATAGGCCTAAAAAATAAAGTCAAATCGCACAGTATGAGAGTTATTATTGTAATAGCTAAAGAATGACACCAAATAGAAAGAAATAACATCATCAAGTTTACCTCTAGTGATTTAAGTATAAAATATAATGCGATAGTACCACTTCTATAGAATACTAAGGAAGTACCACAAAGGCCACCTAGAATACGAATAGGGAATTGTTACTTTTTTTTACAGCCGTAGGTTTAATCACCATTGTATTCAACTTATTTTTAACATGACTCTTTAGATAATGATTACCTGCTAAAGCGCCATGCCATTCAGAATGTTTTCCATGCAACCAATGTAGAAATGAAGTGACGGCCTAGGGTATCAGTAAGAATATTTAAAAAATGATAATGTTACAGTTAGTATAAACGCATTGGAATAGTGAGAAACTACGTCTTGCTATTATTGCTTGATCAAAATTAGCTATTTTTCAGAACCTTATATATGCCAACTAAGGAGCCCAGAAACATTGGTAAACCCATATTTTTCTTGCTAAAAATGGCTTGAATAACTCTGGCTGCAATTGCATTAAAATTGCTAGTTAATTCGATAGTAACCTACAGTTAAGTCTATACAACAACGTAGTTTTAGTGTACCTGGATTGCGACCCAACTGTTTCATATTTTTAAAAATTGCAAACAACGAGGAAATAGCAAAGCCAGTGGAAAATCCTCGCAAGAAACCCTATACATTATTAAGATAAATTATGTAAATATAGTAATTTAATATTTCTTGTCAAACAAACTATCGCCACTAGTGATCAATAATTAATATATATATATATATATAATACCTGAAGGGTAAAGGTAATCCTACCAAGGATTGGATAATTATACAATTTATTGATACTAAAGTGGAGACATAAGATCGGAGTAATACTGTATTAGTACAGCATTATTAACTTAATATCTTTCGAAAACTGTCCAATTTAAATATTAAAATATATCCGTCATACGATTGTTGTATCAATCCAATGACCGGTAAATTGTAAGGTTCAACATTAAGTTGATTATCTTCGTATTTATCTTGGCCGATGAAAAATCTGTAAATGGTAATAATTTCAATCAGATTAATGTTACAACGTAGTCCATATCAGTAAATCGATAGTAACTTTATTGAAATAGCTTATGCTCGTGTAAGCAATATTATACTTGATTAATGATTTTAATGATGGGCCTAATCCAACACGTTTTCTAGTAATTGCAACAGAGAAAATACAGCACATTAATTGAAATGTCTGTCTTATGGTTACAAGTTGTTTTATAGCATCCAGGTGGAATAGAACAGAACAATACACTATTTGGGCATTTACCTGTAAAGATACATTAAACTAGCAGTAGCTATGCAGAAGATGATAACCTGTTATTAATATAAGATAAAAAACCTTTGTTATAATGTTGATTGCTATAATGTAAATTTGTTAAATGCACTGAAGAATATTATCGATATAAATCAGTTTGTCAAGGATTACAGTAACTTCTTTTCTACTAGGAGTTATTCTATTTTATAGTAAGGGTATTTTATTATAAGATAACTTCGAACTACATATGAGCGGATTCATCACATCCATTACAAAATAGTGTATCATACTTACATCTCCATAAGGTATGCCATTAGTGATGCCAAGCGATACAAGAGTGTTAAATAATGTTCCTAATGACTATTGTAGAAAATAGTTTAGCATACGAAGTGAGTATAACGTGAAATTTACATAACTGTTCAATGCAATCAAAGCTATCAGTTTAAGGGTAGTTATTCTCTATTTTAAAAATACTATTCAGAGAATCAGTACAGAATTATTAGCATGATTATCACTGCCTACCAGGTTAGTCAGGTACAAAGCAAGCATAGGTACCCTAAACGTAATAGAAAATGGATAGATTATTCTGCTATGAGTTTTAATAATAGTAACGTCATATTAACAAATTTCAAGGGTATAAAAAGATTTATTACTAACACACAATCGTACGATTGTGTAACAAGATGATCGTGACTACATACGCAAATCTACTTTTAAACAGCTGAGTACTACGAATTTTACTGTACATTTTTCTATCGTATTTTATTCCAATTTAAATCCAAGTTGCCATCGAAGCTTTGGTTATGGCATAGCAATAATAGATGGATATCGTTACGATATCAAATCGACTGTTAGAAAGCAGTCGATATCAAATTTATATTCACGACTGATTAAAAGTAGCCCTAATAAATTAGCTGATTGCACTCATTAATTTGGCCTTTTGCTATTCAATACTCCTGTTACAAGTCTAATAATACTGAACGGTTAAATATATTCTTTCACGGTCAGGTTATTGTACTACAATATGTAATTCGTGAAGATTTGCTTTTCAAAATTCGATTCCTTTTTCTGGAAATTTTTAAATTAGACGAAAAGACGATATTCTAGACTACAGTGACATCAAATACCAGATAAATTATTTTATATTGTGTTCATTTCAATTGGAAAGTATTGATGACAGTCCGTTGATCATCTTAAAAGTACTTTAAGGTGTATACCTAGTATCTCTTTCAAACTGGACTGCTATGGCACTCGATAGTAGACCAGGCAAGAAAGCGATGGTAGGATAGGTAAAATATCCTAATAAGCCTCTGAAATAGGTAAGATAAAAAACAAACCATTTTTTATTGCTTGTAGATCTTCAAGTTAAATACACAATAATTAGAACGGATGGTTATATAGTTCTGCTAGGACAGGTCATTAAGATGCAACGCAACTTTTAAAATAGTATAGGAGAGGTTTCAGTGTCAATCATGATAATCTCTGAAAATCCAATTTTAATAGTATGTCGACATAGTGACTATCTTAAAGATTGTTACCTCAACCGGCAAAAAAAGACGATAAATAAAGAACCATTCAAGCCCAAGAAAAGGCTGGAACGTAAGATCGCAGAGATTAATTTGAGCAGAAATCGACCAATCCCTTCTTTCCATACTCCCGATGGATTCTAAAAATGATAATAATTTGTGATTAGAATGATTCAGTAATGATCATTAGGAGCTATTTTATGCAATCAGCTGAGGGATATTGGATGCAAACTACAGTATCTTCATTGCTTTACTTTTTGATATCTTACTCCATCCAAAATCAGCTGTTAAATACTATTGATCAGTCGTGTGGATACGAGAGAGTAGTAACCTTGATATATTATTCAATCATTAAACAACCAATCAGTATTAAAAACGTATACCATCAACAGAACGCGGAATAGGTCTATCATGTACTTTACTGTTGATTTCTCTAACGCTGAAAACTTGGCGATATTATGCCGTAGTAGGATGTCAGATATGAATCTGTTATAATTTACTCTGATTGATGAAGCCATTTTTACTATGGCCAGCCCAGTATCATTTTAATCATCGCCTTTACAATCCATTTGGATCATATGATGAATAGAATGTAGAATAGGTTTATACCCTACAGGATACAGTACGCTACCGTCGGTTTCTGTAAGCATAAAAGTTGGCAAAGTTATCCCGATACGTTTGGAATGTCATATAATAATCTACAACAAGTATTATGATGGCTAGCATGTACTATTGAATCATTCTGTGCCAGCAATCGAATGTAGGGTAGGTCTACATGCGTATACTCTACAGCATAAAATACTTCGTTGTTGGTTTCTGTAAAGCTGAAAGAGGGAAGAGAGGGAAGAGAGAGAGAGAGAGAGGAGGAGTAGACAGTGGAAAAGGATAACACTTTTACTTGAATAGTCCCCGATAGTATTGTACTGCTGGATGGACTACTGGTTTCTCTAAAGCTGGAAATTTACCCATTAATATTACAATGAGGTAGAAAGTCAGGCAATAAGCTATTACAAGATTGCCATGACTAGCTTAAGCTATTTAAATCATCCTACGCCGTCGATCGAATGTAGAATACATGAGGTATGCTCTACAGTATTGTCGGTTTCTGTCAAGCTGAAAGCTTGTTAATGATGCTACGATGGCGTAGGATGTCAAGCAATCATCTGCGGCAAGTTTACCATGACTAGCTTAAGCAATTTCAATCATTCTATGTGATCAATCGAATGTAGAAGACACTAGGTCTATACGCTACAGCAAATAGTACTGCCATGTTGGCTTCTGCAAAGCTAAAAACCTGCCAATAATGATGTTACGATGACGTCGAATATCAGGTAATCTGCGATAAGTTTACAATGCTTAGCTTGTGTTATTTATTAACTAAATCATCCTATGCGATCAATCGAATATAGAAAACAGCAGAGTAGGTCTATGCCTGGTCTATACTCTACTACAAACATTACTCCTACAGTCGCCTTCTGTAAAGCTGAGAGAAGTTGCCAATGATGTTGCGATGATATAGGATGCCAAGCCATAATAATATATTTATACACGTATATATACATACTGTATATATGAACGAGAACGGATGCGAAATCGGTCATTTTGCAAAATGCGATCAATCAAATGTAGAACACAGTATGATAGGCCTATTCTCGACCACAAATTCTACTCCTACAGTCGCATTCCGCAAAGCTGAGAACTTGGCAATGATGTTGCGATGGCATAGGATGCCAAGCCAGAATAATAATTATTATAGTGTATATGTACTGTATACAGTCATTAATCTGCAGCAAGTTGACGACGACTACAGTAGCTTAAGCTATTTAAATCATCCTATGTGATCCGTGGAATAGACAGTCAGAAATCTCTTCAATAAAAATCTCAGTAAAAGAAATTGAGAAAAAGAAAAGAGCGATCTAAAATGCATGCTATCTTCTGCACGATGCAATTTTTTTTTATTTACAGTAGGGGTTAAGGAAGGTGTTTCTACTTGAGAGGTCATAGGTACAGTAGACCACTTGGCGTATCTAGCAATCATCTGCGACCAGTCTACAACGACTAAGTTGTGCTGTTTAAATCATCCTATAGGATCAATCGAATGTAGAATAGGTCTACAGTTTGCTATACTGTAGAACGTCTGTTAGTTGCTCGATTGAGCGAGAGCTTGACGATATTATTATTACCGTACAAGGTAGAAAATCGGACGATAAAGTAATCGGTTACAAATGGATCATCACCCCAGTATTTTTTTTTGTGCTACTGCGATGTCTTGATATTCTTTCATCATCATCTGCAAGCACTATAAATCATACTATCCATAAAATATCGTCTAGATCTACAGTCAAACTGCATCGTTGGTCGACTGAAAGTTGAAGACTTGGCGATGATATAGTGACAATGATAAGATGTTATTTTCGATTGCAATCTGCCATCATTTATTTTTCTGATCGAGGATATACGGCCACTTATTGACCTAGAACTTGTAAGAAAAAATGCTTGACCATGTCCAGCCCCGTATCCGCCATCAATCATGTTATGTAATCCATGTACCTCCTGCTATTGCTACAATGGAGAACTTACCGAGATTATTCTAACCAGATGGGCAGCTACATGAATTGACGAATACAAGCGGAGAGCTTTTGAAAAAATCAACTGAAAAACTTCCCATGCCACAGCATTACAATTGGGATTCCAGTTATGGCCATGCTCATAACACGATAGGTAGAGTTTACTAAACATGAGTTAATATCCTGCTGAATCGATGGCTGATCCCTTTAATTTCGATGATGCAAGGTGTAAAGGAACAACCAGCAATCATACAATACTTCAAGATCGATGATGTCTAGGTAGAAAGAAAGATTCTGCCAATATTGAAGGATCAAAGATCAAGACTAGTTGGCATTAATTGACCTTGATTGACCTTTTTCTCATCAGGTGTGGACGATTAGCTCCAGCCTCCAGCCGTCTCGAGTCTGTCAATAGCTGAGTTTGCTTTCGACTTGGTCTACTCGATCGCAGTTATTTCCTGCCTGTTGTGGCTTATGTTTGAGCATGTACTGTAGACTAGACTGCTGAGAGGGTGGAAGAAACGAAAAAGCTATTAGCCTACTTGATCAATACTAAATTCGGCTAGCAGCTAATTAGACGAGAGAATATATTATCAAGGTGGAGTATAGGATAGCTGCTAAAAATGATCGCAGCTTTTCCCATGCAACAGATGCTAGGCAAGAGTTTCTTCCACAGATTAGACCTTGATTACCAAACTCGATGATGGCCAAGAGAATAGCGTCAATAAAGCTCTACTAAATAAGAATCATCTGCATGTGCAGCAACCTCTTGGCCTTGACTACATTTCAAATGAATAGTGATATACACTGCACCTGGGCAATATAGAAAATCCCAAGAGCTTTTCCAATCCCCGGAATGGCTTCTTCTACGACAGGAGATAGGGCGAGAGATACTCTACACTTCTATAAGCAAAGTACTGTAATCATATCAACCAATATCGATTACATGGGGAATCATCTGCAAGTACAGCAACGGGATCAAAGTTGATCCCGTTGACGCCTTGACCTTATTAGCTATACATTAAATGGACCATGCTCGAGCTGCAGAAAATCAACATAAATGGCCTAACTCGACAGTATCCTTGCCAAAATAATAGCAACAAATATTGGCCAAATAGCAATCATCTGCTTGTGTACGAACTTCATGGCCTTAGCTAGACTTCAAATGGCATGGTTGTACTGTAATAAACAGTATACTGTATACAGGAGCGCCTGAGCACTGGAAAGAGCTTTTCCATACTGTACGTAGAAAGCTTCTCCTCAATTTATTTAAATTGTGCTCAAATCTTCAATTAGACATTCCTATCAGCTATTGAAAACCCTGTAAGCTTTTTTCATTCGTAGTAAGGCTTCTTCTACGATAGTGACAGTTCACTTACTTACAATACTTTGTGCCTGTATCAGTAGAAATGAGAACATCCACCAAATAGGAAGTCGTCTACAAGTGCAAGAACGTCTTGGACCTTATTAGCTAGACATAAAATTGACTGTAATGAATTATTTCAATCCAGTTGGTATTTTTTGCCATACATACGTACAGTAAATACAATCCATAACAAGTATGGCGTGATACAATATGCATTAACTTAAACGGCATCACAAACTACTTATAGACGATTAGATTCTCTCTTTGCAAAATAAAAGAGTTTCCATCAGGACAACGATAACAATGAAGTAATATTCTGATGTCTATAACACTAAAATGTACAGCCATGTCACCAGACACATTTTACAGAAAGGCAAGAGAAAGCTCTTTCAATTTATGTGCCAATCTCTTTTTATTTGTTAAACATAGAACAAATTATCCACAGTAACCAATCTTCGAGAATTAGAATGTAATCTAATACAAACAGTAGAACATTATTGCTACGGCGACAGGTATAGATGAGAAGGTACATAGGTATTTTGTACAGGAAGTATATCGAGCATAATATTACTGTTCCAAAGACCCTCAAGATGCGTTAGACTCTTGTTCAATTGCAGGGGAATCCAATTCCTCGTCATTATATATATTTTCCGCCTTCAAAGAAAATCATCATTAAATAAATAATGTTAGTCAATGTGTACCAATTTACAAGAAAGGACATTGGTGTAGAACTAATCAACATACCATTTGCCAAACTTGTAGGATATTATCCTCAGAAACACTACAAACGGCCCACGGTTCATTAGGATTCCAAGAAAAATCGGAAATCTTGGCAGTATGACCGCCATGGACGAACTAATAATAGACGTTTTAGATTGTTAGTACAGTTTTCTACAAAAATGACCTTATCAACCCATGGTTGTAGCTTACAAGCAACTCCGGTGGGCCATCTTCTGCATCTTCAGCACTTTGCTCATCTCCAATTTTGCTACAAATTTCATAAATGTAAATTTATCTTGATTATCAAGCCTTGGCCAACTCTATGTAAAACGCCTTATTATTATTTATCGTGTAAATAATGTACCTTAAGTCCCAAATATTAAGTCTTCTGTCTGTTCCACTAGATGCTAAGATCGTCTCATTGTGAGGCGACCATTGAACCTATAAAGCATAACATTAACATAGGAGAAAGTTATACATAGGTAGTCCATTACTGTATTATCGGTTAATATCCCTTACTTGAAATATTTCATCTTTATGAAATTCAAAAGAATGCAACTTTAACTTCAAATTTCTCATGTCCCACAAGGCAACAGTCTGTAATTCATTGACAAGAATTACAGGACATTGTTATTGTTGAAAATATTAATGTCTATATTACAAATAAGTTTACCTTGTCAGCCGATCCGGTTGCCAAGATGTATTCGCTGAATGGATTAAACGCCAAGCAATTGACCTAATAGTATTCAAAGTATTACTACAATCTATATGTATATTTTACTTCGTAAGTATCTTTTATCAAGCGAAATTATTTTTCAGTTCATACCTCAGCAGTGTGAGCGTCTACAATGTGGCTAGCTTTCGTATGGTTATTTGTTCTAGTATCCCAACTATTTTCAAGCGCAAAAGATGATGTCAATATAGCATACAACATACGCAACGATTTCATAGCTACCAGTGTGCACAGATGTCATTACGATTGATTAATTTAACCTACATCATCAGTCTATGATCATCAGCAACTGAGCCAAAAATGCTATCGTGAAGAAGGTGCCAAGCTACATCCTAAGTATGATGTGGTATTTAAAATTGAATAACCAAGAATGAAAGATACACGTCGAATCAATCTATTAATTTTTAAGTTACCTCAACAACACTAGTGTGACCGGTATAAATAGTTTTTGGATCAGATGCTTTACAATCCTGAAAAAGAGTAATCCCATCAAACGATTAGTCATGATTGGTAAGTCGTTCGCTTGCTAACTCACACTTGATTACCTTTGGAAGGCTTGAAATATCCCACAAACAGATTGTCTATAAGGATAATATCAATTCATAGGTATCGATTAGTTGTGTATCTTTAGACGTAGTGCAAGAAATTTTAGAATCACCTGATCATCAGAAGCACTTAATAAATGGCCAGTTAGGAGGGAATTCCAAGATAAACCATAGCTAGAGAAGACATTATAGCAATTAAGTGCAATGCATCCTCTTATTACGCTATTCTGCTAATGTATGTCCTTTACAAAATTCATACCCTTCTTTTTGATGGCCTTTCAAGCGAATCTCAGGTACACATTCTCCGCTGGGGTCTAATTAACAGTGAGATTAAACCATTGATCAATTATATAACTTGTGATTTACTTTATAGAAAAAACACATTCTGTTTTCTGATATGGACTAAGCGTAAAATGCATACCTGGTTTAGAAGGATGCTTGGTATAATCGAATATCAAAACATCAGCGGTTGGAGTTTTAGTTGCAATGACACATGGATTTTGAGGCATAAAGCGAGCTCTAAGGATATCATTGATATTGAAATGTGAGCAAGTTTGATGTTTTTTACCTTTGCAATATTTTGAAAAGGATGGATACATTAAAAGCTTTTTTTAAGATATCATTGATATTGAAATGTAAGCAAGTTTGACAATTTGTTCCTTCCTTTGCAATATTTTGAAAAGGATGGATACTTTCTTTAATTGCATTTTTAAGAGTATCATTGATATTGAAATGGAAGCAAGTTTGACAATTTTTTCCTTTGCAATATTTTGAAAAGGATGGATACTTTCTTTAATTGCTTTTTTTAAGAATATCATTGATATTGAAATGGAAGCAAGTTTGATGTTTTTTTTTCCTTTCAAATATTTTCAAAAGCATGGATACTGTAATTGCTTTTTTGGTGCCATTTACCTATTGACTTCACCATCATGGTTAATTTTGATATCAATCTCGATTTTGCCATTAGCAGAGCCAAATCCACCAAACTCTAAAATAGAAGAAGTAGAGGAGAGATTTTAATCGTTTTGATGGGACGATTAGCAGGATCAAAGTCAACGTCATGTTGAGCTATGGGATAAACTCAATGTGTAATAAGTACCTCCACGTTCACCATCATAATGACTGGCATCGAATTGGGTATCATCGTTAGGTAATTGTACGCTAGCAATGATGAGATGATTTTGTTCATCGGATCTATTGAATGATAACCATCAGTTGTTATTATAAGATTGATGGAATAAGATGATATCGTCCAGTAGTTTGACGATATTACTAGTCAAACGAACTATTACTCTTGCATTCAATGTAGGTATTTTATGTAGTATGGCAAGGTAGTCCATGACTTTGATGATGAATAGTTTGTTTGTGGTGATAATAGATGATCTTACGTGTGTGTTCCTAAGATTAATCGATGAGTTGAAAAATCTTTTCCTTCAGGTCTAATAAAAAAGATTGGTAGCATGACAAAAAGATCGATTGGATTGTATTGCAAGTGGTGACATTGGCTAAAGCTACAGTTATACTATCTCGTCTAACCTAGTGACATCAGGAAGCCATTGAACGGTTAAACTGGGCCATTCCAGTGCATGGGTCATGACTAAATCGTATAAGAATGGTGTATTCTTCTTCCATATTTTGTATTCTTCGTTGACAGCCTTTTCCTCGACTACTTCGTCGTAATTATCTATTGATCATCATAACAAAATTAGATTAGCGATCAAGAGATATTTTACGGGCAATCCATGATAGCTAGTATTGGAATTGGAAGTCAGTTAGAACAGTAGCTTTTGGATGTTGACTACATTGGGCTAAGCGACAGTAGCAACCACTAGTGGGACTATTCTGTAGGCCATCTTGTCCCTGGTCTACACACTCTCTCTATTCAATGGTCCTTTTCAGGACAAAATCATCATCACCCAGTTGAAATCGAACAGTAGAAAGTGAATTTTCCCTAAGACTACCATGTTCCATGGATGGCCATCTCTTGACTAGTGGCTGCTGTCCATCACTGACTGATTAAACGCCATTGGTTGTGAACAAGAATCATTCATTATAGTGTGGAGTAGTCTCCATTGCTATTGTATTCTTCTACGTTAGCCTAATGTTGATGGGTTTTTTGTCTGATGAAGTGGTGCATCCACCACAACATTTTGAGTAAACTGGCTCAAAAATGGCAGTATTTCTAGTCATGATGAATGAAGAACAGCAGTGGAAGATGGCAGTATTGGCTAGGGGAAGAATGGCCATGATTAGACGCTAAAAATGAAGAAAAAAGTTTGCATTACCTGGCCCGTCTGATGCGGACATTGTGCAATTTTCTGTCAACCCGCCAAATTGGATGCTTTGCGCACTTGCTGCAGCTCTTCACGTGATCACGACAGTTCAGCAGAGACAATGAAATGATGGTTGAAGTGGATAGCCACAGTCCATCTCCTGTAGTCTACAGTACTGGATAGTATCGTCTGTATGAGCAGATTCTTGGCATGCGGTACAATGTACTGTACTAGCGTACTGTACATTGTACATTCATTTTCTGTCAACCCGCCAAATTGGATGCTTTGCGCACTCGCCGCAGCTCTTCACGTGATCACGACAGTTCAGCAGAGACAATGAAATGATGGTTGAAGTGGGTAGCCACAGTCATCTCGTGTAGTCTACAGTACTGGGTAGAATCGTCTGTACTGTACTGTACTGTACAGTATGGGCAGATTTTTGGCATGCAGTACAATGTACTGTACTAACGTACTGTACATTGTACACTCATTTTCTGTCAACCCGCCAAATTGGATGCTTTGCGCACTCGCCGCAGCTCTTCACGTGATCACGACAGTTCAGCAGAGACAATGAAATGATGGTTGAAGTGGATAGCCACAGTCCATCTCCTGTAGTCTACAGTATAGTACAGTACTGGATAGTATCGTCTGTATGGGCAGATTCTTGGCATGCGGTACAATGTACTGTACTAGCGTACTGTACATTGTACATTCATTTTCTGTCAACCCGCCAAATTGGATGCTTTGCGCACTCGCTGCAGCTCTTCACGTGATCGCGACAGTTCAGAAGAGACAATGAAATGATGGTTGAAGTGGGTAGCCACAGTCCATCTCGCGTAGTCTACAGTACTGGGTAGTATCGTCTGTATGGGCAGATTCTTGGCATGCAGTACAATGTACTGTACTTGCTGTCAACCCGCCAAATTGGATGCTTTGCGCACTCGCTGCAGCTCTTCACGTGATCGCGACAGGTCAGAGGATGCAGAGACAATGAAATGATGGTTGAAGTGGGTACCCACAGTCCATCTCGTGTAGTCTACAGTACAGTACTGGATACTATCGTCTGTATGGGCAGATTCTTGGTATACAGTACAATGTACTGTACTTGCTGTCAACCCGCCAAATTGGATGCTTTGCGCACTCGCTGCAACTCTTCACGTAATCACGACAGGTCAGAGGATGCAGCTACAATGAAATGATGTACTGTGACTGTACAGTACAATGGGTTACAATACATTGTACAGTACATTCACCATGTTGAGTACTGTAGTGGACTGGACTGTACTGTACTGTATAGTACTGTACTAAACTAGATACTAGCGTCTGTATGGCAGATTCTTGGCAATTTTGACTACTAGATTTGCTCATACTGTCTACTGTACTGTGCTGGCAGTACGGTATAGACAGGTTGAGCAATCTAGTGTTTGAAGTCAGTCAATACAAAGGCTGCTGGCGATACGCATGCGTGGTCGGCTGCCACAGCAGGAAGATGGACGCAAGTCAGAAAAAAGCTTTTAGACGGTAGTACCTCAGTTTCATTGCGTTGGTGCAACGTCTTACTCTTTGAATAATCGCATGAAATTGGAGGTACAGACTCCTAGAATAATGTATCATCGTGTTAAGCTATGCACGCTGAGTATCTGAGTAATCGGGGTTAGTACCAACCTTCAATGCGCATGTTGCTATTCACTGGAGATAGTACTATACAGTAACTGTACAACTGGGTTAAGTGCCCATACGCATGTACAACCATGGATACAGTGTAAAGTGTACAGTACACGACAGGATGGTTCCAGCACAAGTGTACACTGTACACTGTAGCGTCGTCCATGACAGTTTGTAATATGGTTGTAGAAGTCAATCAAAAGGAAAGAAAGAAGAAAGAAATCCAATGATGGCACAGCAAACTACTCTACTGTACACAGGATTGCCTAAAAATAAAGGTAAAATACCTCAAGTAGAGACCGCCAAAGTGCACCACTCCAATACTAGACAGTACGCAAGCCCAAGTGACCAAGTTGATCATTTTTCTAGCCATACTACTAGCCATAGTACTGAAACTGTAGCCAATGTTGGTACAGGACTACATAAAATCAAGCTCGAGCATAGTCGTACTATCCAGCTGCTCGGAAATCTCACGCTACTACGCAAGTGCATCTTTCCATGACGTCATCGCTTGCACTTCATTCCTCCAAGCGGTACTGGACTGGGACTAGTAGAGCAGAAGCCAAGGCAAAATGGCATCGCAGTGCCCAGCCGAATTGAAAACTCTCTTACCTCTTTACAAGATTAGCTTGGAATTTTCCAAAAGAGATCCTGTCATCTGCTACTATGGTAAGCTACAAGAATACTTATAGGATAAGATAATATGAATAGAGTTATCCATGATAGCATCATGATGTCTTCGCTTTTCCCACATAGCCCAATTATATGTCGTTCAAAATGGCTTGAAACAAAGCACTAAAAACATCGAAGTGAAAAAATTCTTAATGACCTTGATGGATGGAATGGAAGGAGTAAGAAATAATCTAGTGTCATGGATAATGAACAACGGATACAATCAAGTCGAGTACTACTCATGTTGATCTCTTCTTTTAGATTAAATCAAGCGGTAACGAAGCAATAACCAACGAAGTGGCTGGCCAGGCTCATGTTGAAAATATTGCTATGAAACTATTTCTACATGCCGATACAGAAGATAGAGCGTCTCGATTTAATAAGTAATGCGTAAACGAAAGCAATAATAATAATAATACGCTTCGATCGATCCAATATCGCTATAACAGAGAATATCATCTTATAATAGGAATGTAATCAAAGCCTTTTATACAGCTTCGCTCATCTTTGAAATGTTGACATTATTTGGTGAATTGACCGATGAGGTAAGATAGCTTCATGACTGAATAAATTTCAAATTCGATGTCGTACAGTAAAAGGTAAAAGGTATCCATCCTTGTCAACATCCTCATCCATTTATATAACCACATGAAAAAATACACCTTGAAAAGTGTGGAAAATTTTTTCCACTGCGATTCATCATCGTCAACAAGAAATAAAATTCCTTCAATTGGACGATGAATAGTGACCATAAATTGAATATTGCACCATTAATGCCTTGATGCCTTGCCATCATCATCTCACCCATCCATTGATAGTATAAGTTACATTCAGCATGGCTTTACATACGCCCTAATGTCTTGTTATCGCTCACTCATCAACTTATAGAATAAGTTAAATTGAATATTGCTTCATAAACACTTTAATGTTCTTGTCATCAACTCACATATGAATTGATCAACTAAGTTAAAATACTGCCTCGTAATGCCCTAATACCTTCTTATCAACTCACTCGTGAATTTATAAAACAAGTTAAACATTGCCTCGAAATAATACACTAATACCTTATTATCAACCCGCTCGTAAATTTATAAAATATGTTAAATATTGCCTCATAAATGTTCTAAGTACCTCGTCATGAAGACATTCATAAATTTTATAAAATAACCTAAATATTGCCTCATAAATCCTCTAAATACCTCGTCATGAAGACATTCATAAATTTTATAAAATAACCTAAATATTGCCTCATAAATCCTCTAAATACCTCGTCATGAAGACATTCATAAATTTTATAAAATAACCTAAATATTGCCTCATAAATCCTCTAAATACCTCGTCATGAAGCTATTCATAAATTTTATAAAATGACCTAAATATTGCCTCATAAATCCTCCAAATACCTCGTCATGAAGTCATTCATAAATTTTATAAAATAACCTAAATATTGCCTCATAAATCCACTAATGCCTTGTCATCAACTCACTCATGAATTGATAAAAATAAATTGACCAGTGCCTCGCATATGCCCTGACACTTCGTCATCAACTCACTCATGAATTTACAAAATAACCTCTAAACATTGCCTCTTAAATCCACTAATGTCTCGTTATCAACTCACTCATAAATTGATAAAATAAGTTGGCCAGTGTCTCGCAAATGCCGTGACGCTTCGTCATCAACTCACTCATGAATTTACAGTTGAACATTCCCTCATAAATACCCTGATACTTTATTGTCAGCTTATTCATGAATTTATAAAATAAGTTGAATATAGCTACATTAAATTAAATACTGCCTCACAAATGATCTAGTTTCTTGCCATCAATCCACTCATGAATGGATTTTGATTGATCACTTTTAAATAGGTGCAAAGAAACAAAAAATACGCTAAATGGAAAGCAGCTTATATTGCTAAATGTCTAAAAAGTGGTGAGGCACCTATACCTGGTCCAGTAGGTGGAGATGATGACCCATTTAGTGAATTTGGAGATTTCAATCAAGTACCCCCTCCTTCTGATAGCTTTACTAGCAACAATACAAACATGCCATCAAATCCTCCTGCCCCTGGATTTAATACTGAGTATGATATGCCGTCACCTTCCAATCCTAGCTTTAATGAAGCAAATTTTCCACCCCAACAACCTAGTACACAGAATTATACTATGCCAACGCCTTCAAGTTATGACAACACCGCAGCAGCGACTGGCAATGTCAATGTTGCCCCGACTAGTTCAAATACTGGCGTTACTTTGTCACCGCAAGACAGCGATAAAGCACAGAAATTTTGTCGCTATGCTATCAGTGCTCTACAATATGAAGACACCCCAACTGCAATAGAAAACTTACAGAAAGCTCTACGCCTACTACAAACAGGGAAACTATAAATATTGGAATGTAACATAATTTAAAGTAATACGGGTTACATGATTTTTTATATTATCATTTATAGTTTGCACCTGCATATCATTTATTATAACTATTACTGTATGCGAGCATGTAATATATAATAACGTACGATGGCTATATCTGTTTCATTATGCTTGACTGGATAGATGTACTGCTCAATTTGTTGAAAATCAATACATGTGCTTTAACTAATTTGATAGTAGCAACAACTAATTTTTCGGGTAACTTGTATAAAAATAGGGTATCTAATGGAATATAGCTGATTTCCGGTCATTAAATGTTAGATAATTGATAATTTTGAATGTCTCTCGAAGAACTAGTTGACAGCATCTACCGTAACAATGCACCTTTATTACTAACGTCCAATACTTGTAATTAATTGTATGAGGGAATATTAGCATGTCATGACAATAAAATTAGCGTATATGAAAAAAGGCTTTTGGCCCCCTCCCTCACTTGGATGCTAGATCTTATTCTATCGGAATGTTAATATTTTCTGTTTACTAAATTAATAGTGACCACGGTAGAGTTAGGGATGACAACTTTAGAATTAAAATATTTATAATCTGAACAAAATATTATCGATACCGATAAGCAGGACAAGCATTATCGTGGTTGGAAAGCCGTGATAAATAGCTTAAATATTCTTAGCTCGTAACTAATGCTAACAGTATTGTGAATTATGCTGATTTACCAGTATGTATAGGTGCCGGGAGAATCAAGATTTGTGATATCTTTTTTATTATTAGAGGTATTCGTAGTACAGTACTACAGCATATATCTTCTAATAGATTATTAATAATTACAACTATAGCAATTCCAAAATAAAGAATCGTATACACCTAGAATAATAGCAAAGAGCTGTAACTATACTGTACAATATATCCAAATTTCGGTGATTTACAAGGTACAGTACAGTAATTGTAATAATAAGAATATCAACCTTGACATAGGATACGCTGACCTCAATGTATTGGGGTTAAACAAGCTTTTATTGACATTTAACAAGTCAAGATATGAAAATTTAAGGCGTACTACATACACTCATATAATACCTAGTTGAAACAAGTAGATTTAAAACCATAAAAGATGTATTACAGCTTTTCAAACTGCAGTTATAAAATCGATGGATACAACAACAAATAACAGACATGAAACTATGTATGCGTATGAATCCTTCGATTTCATGTTATGCCCACAAGTAATATGCTAAGGGTTTTTAGTAATTAAGATACAATACTACAGCAGCAAAGTTGTAACCGCTAAGCTTTAGCAACAACATTATAGCCTACCAACATATATCAAAATGACCATGATGACTATCGCCAAGTTACAGTAGATACTGTTAGGAAGTTATACAACGTATAACTACAGTTTGCACTGATACAATATACGAGACTAAAGATAGCAATAGTAGTAATAACGCCGTAGACGAAATTAGATTCGAATCTATAATAACGTCCGAAATAATAAAATCGTAATCAGTCACTTTTCGATCCGAAATTTTAGAAAGATTAGGTACAATTTTATGCATAAAGGACGAAAGAACACCAAAAAATTGAGCTATACATGTATTTCAATACATTTGTTAAACACAAAAATTTGAAAAAGCTGTAGTAATGAACAAAAGTGGGAAAGCAAGAAGAGCTTACATTAATTAAGGAAGAGCACTAGCGGCATCCTTTCTTTTCTATTCTTCTTTTCATACTGGCCAAAAATGCATTATATAATGCCAACTAAACATTGGAGACATCTTTTAACTTATACCTACGGTCATAACCGATTCTATTCAAAGACATCGTAATGATGATACCACCTTTCATTTTTAAATATTAACATGGTAAAGTACGGCATTATACCAAACAACTTACGACAAAATATACGCATGTTACTAAGGACGATTGACTGGCATAATGAAGATTCACTGTACATTTAATTAAAATAGTTTTGATAGATTAGATCTGGTGTGCATTAATTAAAAAGGGCAATTTTACGAAAGAAAAGGCTATCGTAATAATAAAAATTAAAAAAAAAATAGGTAGGACTCCGCCAATAGCACGACCTACTTAAAATTCTATCATGTAATTGAAATTTTTTAATTTATCATATCGAAGTCCGTACGACGGCCTTTCAAAAGATATGTTCTCATATTTCCTTTCCCCTTGACTTGAATTTGACCACGATATTCAAAGTCGAATTTTGGTTGCAGCACACGGTTGGCTCTTTCGCTGACCTATAAATGGTGTGAGGGTAGCGGTTATTTGTTTTAATTAAATATCGGAAAGTAAATTTGTATAACATGGAATTTGAATACTTATTGGTATGCTTATGTAACAATCGGATTAACAGAATTTGACAAAGTAATTTTCGATAACTATTATGCTAATACGGTCAGTTAGTTGCATAGCGATAATACGAAAATTAAGGTCATTTTCAGTTGTTGGGTAATCAATTAACGAAATTGATCACATAATTTATCAATTTAATAATTTTATGTCATATGTTTAATGCATATTAGCGTGTAGCCTGTCACATTAGAATGCTCTAGCGTAATTTATACTTGATTTTATGTCAGCTGTCAATACGCCATATTCGCATTAATTCGTACCTGTACTCGTCCAGGGGTACCTGTGGAATCCATTCTGCTAGCAATATTTACTGTATCGCCCCAAATGTCATACATCATTTTTGAAGTTCCAATGACACCAGCAGTTAGAGGGCCACAATTATAGCCCACACGAAGTATAAAATCAAATTGTAGCATATCTTGATTAAATTTCGTTACAGCTTCTTGCATTGCAATTACAAATTCCATTAAGTCAAATAAGTGCCTGAAAACAACCAAGTTTATTGCATTATTTTAACATCGATCATAATTGCAAGAGATCCATGATTGATAATTAAATTTAAACATAACATGACATTCAACATTAACATGGTATTGCTTACTGGTCTGGTTCTTCATCGACTTGATCGGAATTGAGTCCAGCAGCCGCCATGAAAGTACTACCAATCGTCTTAATTTTTTCTACTTTCTTAAATTCCTCTTTATCCAATAGTTCATCAAACTCAGAAACTAGTTCGTGGAGAACACGGATACATTCTTGCCCACCGGCAAAATTTTCAGAATAGAATTCGTAAAAATTGACTAGAGAAGCAAAAATAACTCCAGCACTTTCTATGTTTTGTGAATACGATTGCGATGTGTTTAGACGTTGAATAACATGATCTGGAAATATATTAGCCAATAAATCGGTCGCTTGATCTTTTAAAACTGCATTCTTTTTCCGGTGCTTCATCGCTTCCAAACTGCTATTAAAGTTGACTCTAACTGCCACTTCAAAGAGCCAATTAAGGAAAACTACTAAAATAACCAATAATATCACATCTAGGATTCGCTCATTTTTCCACTTGTCAAACTGTGTTGGTGATATCGTTCCAGCTGAGACAGTCGATAGCAATGTTGTCGTCAATGGTGATGCTGTTGATATCAAATTTGGATTCGGTACACAATAATCTAATTTTACCGTAAGCAATAGAGCTACAGTTACCAAACAAGCAATAGCCGACTTTGCAATAGACCATAATCTCATAAAGTTGCAATGATGAACAATAATAATTGTTGCAGCAGTGCAGTAAGCTTGAAACGCATTTACATCTCCAATACGAGAACAATCGGTAAAATCAGTAAAAACGATCAAGACTGGTAAGATCACCAATAATAAACTGATAATATGGCGTGGATACCATGATACACACATTAGTTGAAATTTATGAGGTAATACGTTAGTAAAGGCTAATAGAACAGCTGTAATAAAGATTATAATTTCTAATACAGCTGCGACAATGAAGATTATAGTCCAGGCTTCAAGTTTATCGACATCGGTTACTAAAAACAAGAATCCAGATAGCATAGCAAATGTAGATATTGATATTAATGTATCTAAGAAGAATGAATATCTTAACGATCCGTATGACATTTTAGAAAATGGTTGACTTAAATCAGCAAGACCGTCTCGCCTATACTCCGTTTCAATAGTAGGAGTATTAAAGAATAAAGTTAAACGGTTCAGTTTTGTCTTGACAAAATATGTTTCGTCGGCTCTCTCTTCTCTTAATAGATCAGCCAATTGTTTGTCATCTTCTGTCCGGTGGGATCTATCTCGGATTAATCGGCTAAATATGGAACTATGTGATGAACGACGGTAAGCCGATCTTGACGTTCTTCTTGTGCCAGCACCGACTCCAGGTACATTTAAGGCATCGTAAGTCGTCGATTCACGCGGTAAATTGAATCGTACATCACTAGTATCTCGTTCTTCGATTGTGCTCCCAGAACGGTGTGTACTAATATCTATGCTTGGCCGACTACTATCAATACCACTGGGCGAATTTGCTTTACCACCGTTAGAGAATGATGTTCTAACGCCTGATGAAGGGGCTCTAGAAGTTTTTTGTGCTGATGGACGTACAGGATGAAGTAACGCGTTAGGTAATCTATCCGATGGTTTAAGCTCTTGGTTGTTTTTATTTGTAGTAATATTGATACCGTTATCGCTATTGATATTCCTACCTGTTGATATAGCGTCTGTGTTCTTATCTTGATGTTGACGTTTAAAGTCAGCATCATTTTGTCCGTTCTGATTATCTTGATTGCTAGCCTTATTAACTGTATTATCAACATTAGTACCGTTAAAAATGTTGTTAGCATTGTCGTTACGTTGAACGTCATCAGTTTTGTTACCGTCGTGATTAGTCGTTGAATGATCAGTGCTAGTGCCGTTAGTCGTCGTATTATTATTATTGTTGTTGTTGTTGTTGTTGTTTTGTTAGTATTATTATTACTATTTTTATCTAATGATGATAATGGGTCATTTTGATTATCAATTTTGCCACTAATTAAGTAAGTGGTCATGCCAGCCAGGCCTTCACGACGTCGTCCTGGATTTTCATCCACTCTAATACGATATTTACCAGGGCTTAAATTATCGTAAGTTTCTTGAGTAGCGTGAACGAAGCCAGGCTCACCTCCAGCTTCCATTGTATTGGCCAATGATACATCATTGGACCATACATCAAATTTAACACGTTTAACACCTAAAACACCACATAAAACAGTTCCAGTGTGGACACCTACTCTCATGTTGACATCGTTACCAGTATCTTCATCAAATTTTTGGATAGCAACAATCATATCTAAGCCCATATCTACTGTATCATCAGCATGACTTGAAACAGTTTCTGGGCAACCCGAAACACAATAATAACAATCGCCTAAAATAGCAATTTTTTCACAATTATGTTTTTGGGTTAATGCATCAAATCTGGAAAATAGATTATTTAACAGTGATACTAATTCATCGGCTCTCTTATTCGATGACATACGAGTAAAACCTACGATATCTGCATAAAGGATACTAACATTGTCCATTCTCATCATATGTAACTCACGAAATGCGCTACTTTTCTTAAATAATATCTGACTGTTTTCATCTTCGGTTTTAATAAATTTATCAGCAAATAATTTTGGCATTACAGATAAGATCATATTTTCCTTTAACTTTCGCTCATTTTCCAATCTTTGCTTAGCAATAATGGATTGGCATACGCGCCAAAATGTACTATGAGCCCTAACTTCTGTCACTATAGATATATGAAAGCCTAAAATATGCACGCATAAATGTAGGAAAACCCAACTGATAATGATAGAGGCATTATAATTTCCCGGTGGTAACAAGACATTGACGACTAATTGTACAATAGAGAAGATAACGCCAATTACTAAGCAAATGAGTGGGGTTATCGGTAAAGCAGTGTAAATAATGAGTAATACTTCTGCGGTGACAGTAAATCGAGCTATTGGTGACATACTACGTATTGCATCGTCAGAACCACCAGCAGCATTAGCAGCAATTGAACAACCACATAAGATGACAACTAATATCCAAGAAATCCATTTAAGGTGCTTTGGTCGATTGATGTAGCAGGTCATCATTAACAAACCTAGTGATACAGCAAAACACGATGAGGCTGTAATTAAAAAGCCAATCCAATCGGTATCTTGTCCAATTGCAAAATAAGCAATCCAAACAGCGCAAGCTAATAGAATATAACACAAGGCGTATTGAACATGACGTTTAGCTTGCATAAATGTTGCATGGCGATATGATTTCTCTAATATTTCCGAATCAAATTGGGGCATAAAGATATTTCCTGTTGCTCTATCGAACAATTTAGGCATGCCACAACAATTCCGAGTCGGTGTTGGAATCGATTCTTGACCTTCTAAATTATTGATGTTATCTTGCTCTCTTTCATTGTTACTGCTTAAGTTCTGCATGGAAATGGGCTGTAAGGTGTTATCTGTTGATTCTTCACTTCTTATCGAATCTCTTTGTTCTATTGGAATCGGCATACTTCAACGGTGGTGATCCTACAACAATTTGTTATATTGAGTATAATGTTAATGCAATAGCATCAATAGTGAGAACGATTTCAATGTAACGAAGCTATATACACCTTAGTACCGTATGCTTTCATAATTACATTTAGTAGCAGTTGGTTACCATATTTCATTAAGTTGCATCATTTATGTATGAATGATGGTGACCGACATTATTCAAAATTTCTTTTACATGATAAAAATTAATTTTCAAAGATACCTAATAGATTGTCAATCAATTGTCAAAGCTCGATTATGTTTATCTCTTCTTCCTCTTTAATATTTCTTGCTTATAGCTTGTAACCAATTTGCGTGAAGTTTATTGACTACGTTTCCTATCTTGATCAAATTAGAGCAAATGGAGTACTTTCAATTTATCAAGATGAAATATAGGTTGTATGAATGATATCATTGGACATTGTACGTGTCGTTTTAATCTAACTTTATCTACATTACGAATATTAACATAAGCAATAATTCTATATGCAGTACAGTATACGCTACTCTACAGTACACAATGCAATGGTCTACTTCCATTACTTCTAACGCTATGATGGGCGTCATTCTATATTCTATAAAATGAAAAGTTGATACAATACTAGTAAAAATGACGACGTTGTATTTTCTAGGCTATTACTTTAAAGTTTCATCGTTGTAATTTTGCTGCCTTTTTCCTTCTACCAATTTAGTCAACGTAAAGCGGTTGCATGACAACAGCACATTATCAGGTACAGAATGAATTGGATGAAATTGAAAAAGTCCAACCAAAAACTTTGTGTTTGAATTTTGTTGGGCCTTTTTATTAGAATAAGATTTTCAATATGAGATATTGCGGTAGATTGACGGTTCAATCATGAAATCCTTCTACCTAAAAGCAAAAGAATTAGATGGCGTTAATTAAGCAATTAATCGTTACTCTTGGATATTTTTTTTTTTTCTCCCACCACTCTTGAACTCGATCATTTGTCGTCACTTTCAAGACTGTTGAACTACAGAGAGTATCGTACTGTATCATAACGATGTGTCAGATCAATCATCCAGGGTATGACTATTGTACAATCATTGACAGATTGTCTTCTTTTATAAATGGATAAAATCATCCTTAAGCTAAATCAATCAGCAATGTACTGAGTATGTTACTCTTTCCTGGCATTCCATCCATCAATCAAGCATCTTCTGCATGATATTATTTTTGAATTATTTCAATGTTGATTAAGAAAAGATGATAAATAGGATTGCTGAGTATCTTACTCTTTCCTAGCGTTTCATCGATCAATCAATCAAGCATCTTTTGCATGATATTATTTTTGAATTATTTCAATGTTGATTAAGAAAAGATGATGGATAGGATTGCTGGGTATCTTACTCTTTCCTAGCGTTTCATCCATCAAGCATCTTTTGCATGATATTATTTCTGAATTATTTCAGTGTTGATAAAGGAAAGATGATGAATAGGATTGCTGGGTATCTTACTCTTTCCTAGCGTGTCATCAATCGTCCTTTGTGATGATCTCGTTTTTTGAATTATTTTCATGTTGATCAAGAATAGCATTGCTGGATATCCTACTGTAGTCATTTCTAGCCTTTCATCAATCATCTTTTGCATGATATTATTTTGGAATGATTTCAATGTTGATTAAGGTTAAGGATATGTCATGAATGGAATTGCTGGATATCCTACCGTACTCATTTCTAGCCTTTAATCAATCGTCTTTTGCATGATTTCAATGTTGATTAAGGTTAAGGATATGTCATGAATAGGATTGGTGGATATCCTACTGTACTGTAGTCTTTTCCAGCGTGTATCAATCGTCTTTTGCGTGATATTCCTTTAGAATGATTTCAATGTTGATGAAGCTTAAGGATATGTCATGAATTGCTGGATACTTTTGTAGCGTGTCATCCATCAATCGTCTATGAACATGCTGATTGAGGAAAGAGAATTCATTGATCGGATTGCATGGTTACCATGGTGATACGTTATTCTCCTCATCGACCGAGTGAATGCCAAGCACACGATCCAGATTTCAGTCGACCATTGGTCAAACTCTGCTTGGTTCAAGCCATGTCCCCGAGTACTGTTGACTGTGTACCCGTTGCATCATTTCCTTCCTCTCCGTCCGGACCGGACCGTTGGTTGATCGTATCGTCCGTCCGTATGCGTCTACCACCGATACAGTGGTGCAAGTAGTCTAGTGGACGATATCGCATACAATACTTGACGAGTTGTGTCCAGTCATTGGGGGGTTATTGTTGTTGTTATTATTGAGCAATGGTTGTCAAGAAATGGATACATTTGCTGTTGTTGTATTGTTTTGATCAATCATTTTTTGGGGGGTCGTCTCGTCGGTATCGTCGTGTACACAGACCGAGCACAGGGTTGATTTGCACAGTACCGATAGTAATGTACGTACGGCTGTGGTATGCCAATTGATTGTATCCTCCAGCTAGAGTTCACGTTTTACTCAACCATGGCTGGCATCCTGTTCTCCATCAGTGCTACAGCGAAGACGTTCGTCCCTGGTGAGTACGTTCCAACATGCGTCACGCAAAGCGCGTCGTGCTACTAGTAGGACAAGCAATTTGTGGTGAAACGAGACGACGTACAACTAGGGTTGCGTGTGGTGACTGACTCAATCGACTACGGACGTTCGTCCTTGGTGAGTACGTTCCAACATGCGTCACGCAAAGCGCGTCGTGCTACTAGTAGGACAAGCGATTTGTGATGAAACGAGACGACGTGCAACTAGGGTCGTGTCTGGTGGCTGACTCGATCGACTACGGACGTTCGTCCCTGGTGAGTACGTTCCACCATGTCCCACGCAAAGCGTGTCGTACTACTAGTAGGTCAAGCGATTTGTGGTGAAACGAGACGACGTACAACCGTGTACTGACGCGCAACAAGGGTTGTGTCTGGTGGCTGACTCGATCGACTACGGACGGACAAGTCGGATTGCACTCCTGTGTTACAGTAGCGTACTACCAACAGAGAAGCAAGTGGTAAGGTGGTCAAGTACTCTTTCACGAGCTATCGTCGACTGATGCATTTTTTTTTTCCTCCCCCAAATTCAAATCACCTTGTACTATTGCAATCAAATGGCCTCCCCAAATACAGCAATCCACTATTGTCAAATGAACGATAGTGAGCAATGACATGGATTCAGTTGATCATCTTGCGTCGTCCATACAAGATATTGAAAATGATGAATCCAATCATGGAGCCGAGTAGACGTCGACAAGAATAGTCTGCGTCATTTAGCAAGACCAAACAGGACAAGGAGTAAAAGAAGAAGAATATCAATCATAAAAAATGATGATCGTCATCAATCATCAAGAGGGAAAAGTTGAAAAAACTCAATCGATTCAATGCTCCCATACAAGTGGAAAATGAATATGGCTTGTAACAGTCAAGCCTGTAACTCGCTGACTGTTGTATTTTTGTTTTCTATTGCCAGCCGATTGTTGCTATTTTCAAACGATAATAACATTTCCATAGCAAATCAGCATGTCGTCTAGCACAATCAAATGAAATGGTATTATTATTAAATAAACTCTTCTCCGAGCTTCAAAGTTGCATGTCACATCGCTGCAGGGTTACAATCCAGTTTTAATGAATCACTTAATTTAATAGCTAGACATTTGTTTTCCAGCCCTACTGTATAAGTACTGTACTGTACTTACTTTCCAAGAGTGCCTGAAAATGATACAATCCAACAACGACAACTGGACAGGAAAAGTGAACAGAATAACACATCCATGATCTTTGAGTAGTGAACTTGATAGACCTCAGGTAAAAATGGAAAAATCATCGTGTGCTAAAGTCAAACAGCGTATCTCTCGACATTCACAAAATAGTCAACAGTCTCAAAAGAATGTTGTAACATCCTGTACGTCTAGGATGATATCCAGTGTCCACCGTATACGATAGATGTCGAACTACCCAACGTTGATGCCTACTGTAGCACCCTATCATCAATCATAACCCATAGAGGCAATCATGACTGATTGCAACTACAAATGCAAATCTTTTCCCAATAATCAATCTAGTCACGGTATAGTTTTGTTGGATAATGAAGAGGTGTACGCCTAAAAGTAACATTGTTCAATGCTACGATATTGTACCTACAGTAGACGAGCATTTGTAGTCAACTGCAATGTCCACTTTGAGCGATATGACAGCATTTGTTGAAAACGCCATCTTGGGGTAGGCCACTATCGCTCTTGTCATTATTATCATCGTGTAGAAACGGTGTTGAAAAATTCAAATACGACCATGTCAATAAGATATTCCTTGTATTGAATCACGTAATGTAAAGACAACATGGATACAGTAAAAAGTCTTGTTTAATTAATGATTAGTTCAAGCCTGTACGTATATATACGTTGTTGTCTCAAGATCGGTATTAAAGTGCTGATATTGGCTAATGGAAAATTGTCACAACGTTCAGTCAATTTTTCAAATTACTTATTCCTATACAATAATGAATTGGATACGTTGATATTGTACATGTACAAGCAAACTACAATTGGTATGACAGTACAATATGCCATACAGCTACCATCATCATCATCATCTTTCTCCCTTTTCATTATGAAGGTAATAACAAAAGAAATGAAGCCCCCCCAAAATCCAGTTGTCCATTTTACGCAAAGTAAAAGGCAAAATGGACCCAACGATGATGTCTTGATGAGCAGGGTCAGTATGTCATGCCCTATGTGTGCGTATTCAATACCAATTTTAAAACATCCATACCATTCCTTTTTGCTTAAATCAACAACTCATTGCAGTACAATTGATA